GGTCCTTGTCAGCTCCCCAGGCCTCTTGTTCCCCGTCACAATCCAGCTTCATTTCTTCATGTCCTAATTCCTGTCTCTTGATGGACTAGTTCACAGCCATATGCCAAGTGCCTGCATTCAGTCGGCACTCAATACATGTATATTGAAGGGACAAATCAAGTGAAGGAATCCTAGGGACAGTTCTGAAGAGACGTCCTTCCATTGTTCACTTGTTCAAACAGTCACTTATGAACCAGTACTTTTGGGGGTCCCCTTAGTTGATGAGGTCCTGGACATACAGCTGTGAGCGAGACCAAAAAGTCCCCTGCCCTATGGAGCTACGGCTCATGGAGGGGGCCTCACAACTCCCAAGCCGCTGACCAGACAATGTGGGATGGCAAGGACTTGTCTGAAGGATTTCAGACAAGTGAGGAGGGAGGCCGCTGTAGCCCGGGGGGCTGGGGAGGGCCTCTCTGAGGAAATGACCTTTTTGCTGAGACCTACAGGCTGGGAGGGAGCATCAGGGGTGACTTACAGGAAGGGCACGCCAGGGAGGGAGAGGCCACGGCCTGGATGTGGCTGCAGCCATGGAGCTGGGCACTGGGCTGGCCCTTCCATTCACCTCTGGGCCATCCAGGCCAGTCAGGGGGCTCACCGGTGAAATGAGGGAGTTGGCCTCCATTGGGCGCAGACAGTCTGGTTCCCAGCCTGGCCTCCTCCGGCCGCCCATCCCTCTTAGGTATAAACTCAACATCCTGGCCTATTTTGCCATTTCCTTTCGTGCTAGACCAAAGGGTCTATTTTGGAAACTCCTATAAGCAAACTAAGCCCTGCCTGGCATTTGAGTGGATATAAAAGAGCCCTAAGTGAGGGACTTAGGCCTAAAAGCCACCCAGCCCTGAGAGCCCACGCTGTTAAATTTAGAAGCCTCACCTCCAAATGAGGTGAAATTGTAGGTTCCCTGGACTGGCGGGCGGCTCTGGCCAGCAGTGAGCTGGACAGATTTAGTGGAGTGGGCTCGGGCTCCCTCCAGCCGCGTCTCGGGGGCGGAGGCCCAGGACGACGGCCCCGGGTGTCTGGGGAGCAGCCGGCTGGGTGAGAAGCCCCTCCAGCTATCCTGCTCTGGCCACACTCACCAGCTGTCTCCGAGCCATCCATCTAAGAGAGCACTGCCCAGGGTGCCCGGCCAGAGAGAGGCAGCGAGGGACACACGGGGAAGACGCAGTCCTGTCTGCCATCAAAGGTTTGGGACCTGCATGACTTCTGCGCCTCTCTCCTCTGCCCAGGCATGCAGTGAGGGCTCTGGCTTCTCTCTCATGCCCTGCACAGTGCTGGCTTTTCGGAGCTGCTCTGGGCCTCTAAGTGTCCCGCCCTGGGGACTTTCCAGACTTGCCCACAACCTAGCAGCGAAAGGGTGAATGCCAGCGACCTCAGAGGAGGGGGAGGGGGTCCCCAAAGTGCCCAGTCTCTGTTCTGAGTGGTCAGTGCCCCTGTTGTGTCAATGAATCAACATTAGGAATATCAGCCTCGGTCAGAAGTGACCAACACTCATGGGGGCTTATCAGGAGCTACCCATTGAAGGCTCCCGTCATTCCAGGGGTCTCAGCCGGGCCATCCTGTCCCCAGTCCACAAGAAGGGAGATGCTTTTGCAGCAAGAAACCCTGCTGGGGGAGACTGTAGCAGTCAACGGGTCAACTACCAGGGTCTGCCCCATCAGGGCCTAGGGGAAGGGCTGCTGGCCCCTCTTTGAGAGCAGCTGAGCTGACTGGGAGCTGATGCTGGTCCCAAGAAGCCCATGCAAACCTGGGTTCCCACACCCTGAAGCCTGCAGGAGATGGGCCTTGATTTTTCTTGGCCTCCCCCAGCTCACTGCTGGCTATGTTTCTAGCTTGGCAGGTCCCTTTCATGACCTGTTTCCCTTCTGGGGCCCCCTCTCTACCCTTCAGCCTGGGTCTAGCTCAGGAGTGGGCGCATGTCCTCAGGCCAGCCTCCGGGGAGCAGGGGCAGCCCAGCTTGAAGCGGCCAGGCTTTTAAGACCTGTCATGCCTACGTCCAAATCCCAGCACTGGCATCTCCTACCTGTGGGACCTTGGTTGAGTCCTTTCCTCTCCTCTCCGAGTCTTAATTTCTTTATCTGTTAAAATGGGGATAGGAAGAGTACTTACTTCATATAATCTTGGGAGAATTAAATGAGATTTTACATGGTTAGAGCAGGTAGCGTGCTGGCTGCCCGGGGTCAGAGGTAGTGCTGGCCATCTTGGGGGTCATTCCGTAAGAGCTGAAGCTCTTGAAAGGCTGTTTCGTGAGGGCATAGCCATGCTCATCATTTACATAATGTCTCCCGCGGCTTTTGCTCCAGAACAGGAGAGCTGAGTAGCTGTGACAAACAGTATACGGCCCGTGAAGCCAAAAACTTTAGTATCTGGTCCTTTACAGAAACTGTTCATCTGTCCCTGCCTTGGAGTCTAGCACTTAGTGGAAATTCTTATCCTTATCCCTCCTCTTATCTGGCACTGGGCACTGCACAGCCTGGTACAGCTGGGGCAGCAGCCCTAGCCCGTCAGGCCTTGTTCTCTGGGCCCGTAAGGATGTGCTGTGACAGTTCCACGCACCAGGGAACACTGCAGCCCCGCCTGCGAGTCGCTCTCTGTCTAGTGGGGGGACACACAGAAGTCACCGCTCACGTGGAACGGGCAGTGGGGGAAGGGCATTCCAGCCCCCCCAGCCCCCGGGCTGGAGCCAGAGTGCTCATGCCCGCCAGTGACCTTGCTGGTCCCTCTCCCTCCTCCCCCTCATCCCCCTGCCCAGCTTGGCTGGGGTCTCTCAAGAGTTTGAGTAAGGTTCCCAGCGCCACCCTGAGCACCTGCTGATAGTGGCAGGACGACGGGGTGCTGAGAAGTGTCTTAGCAACATGCAGGGAAAAACAACAACACCCCCCCCAAAAGCAAATTTATAGCACCTACCAACATCCAGGGTACAAATACTCCTACCGGGCCGAGGTCGAGCTACCCGAATTCCAGAGGGCGTAACAGTGGACTCTTGTGAGCTGGTCCAGGCTGGCAGCAGCCCAGCCCAGGTGGGGACAGTGGGGACCTCCTTGTGGGGCCTCCGTCCCTCACCCATCAATCCATCAGCGTAGGTCAGCCATAGCTCTGATGCCTCAGGGATCATGGAGATTTAGTAAGATAATTTTCGTAAGGCGTTGCACACAGGGTCAGCTTCACAACGAGTACTTGGTAGATAATGGCTCCCAACAGGGCTGGTGTTCACAGACCCACACACAGCATGGGAGGGTCCCTGGCGCTGGGGGTTGCCAAACAGTGAGTGTTCAGCAAACACTCGTCAGCTACCCCGCCTGATCATGGCTGGAGGGCACTCACTGGGCTCATCTGTCTCTGCAGTCACCCCCAGGGCTGCAGCCCGGGTCAGGCCACTGCACCGAGACAACCATTCTTCTCGTGCGTCCCCTTCTCATTGTGTGCCCTCCGCACCTTGTCTCCTGGGGCCTTTTCTGACTTTCCATTTTGCAGCAGTGACCACTGAGGCCCAGAGCCAGTGAATGGCACAGCTGGGATTTGAGCCCAGGTCTGGGTTTTTGTTGTTTCCAGTGCTCGCCTATGTACAGCACACTCAGGGTGGGTGAGGGATATATGGGGGGAGGCGAAGGTTTGTGGGGGCTGCACAGATCTGCTGGGGGGGCTCTGGAGCCTGTGGTGGGGACTGACCATACGCACTGGACAGATGTGGCTCGAAAGAGAACGTTATGGTTGGGGGAGGAGGCCCCAGTGTGAGCAAAGGCATGGACACCAGACTCCGCTGGCCAGAGAAGGGACGTCAGGACGCAGGCGCAGTACCACCCAGGGAGAAGAGGGGGCGGTGCTGTGCAGCTTGTCTATAGGTGTGGCTTGGCCAGTAGGGTCCCCAGAACCCCTGGACTGACTCCAGCCTGGCTGAGGAGCAAGGTATGAAACCGTAGCTGCGGAGACTTAGGTTAGATACAGAGAACCTTCCACTCGTTGCTGCTGGAAGACACTGGGTGATATTCCCAAAGGATGTCGTGGCATTTTTCCAATCTAGAGGTGGTTTGGAAAGAAAGCAAAGACAGCCGGGGTTCGAGGGTGGTCTCAGCGTGGGCTGGGTTAGAGATGGGGCAATGTAGCCGGGGATGCCAGCAGCCTGGCCTCCTGTGAGATGGGCTTTGTCAACCCCTGCTCAAAACCCTCTGGGGGCTCCCAGTCACCCTGGCCCCTTTGCAAGGCCAAAACCTTCCCTGGGGTTACCAAGGCCCTCCATGACCTGCACACTGTGGGCGTCTCCAGCCTCGCCTGGAGTCATGCCCAACCTGCGACACTGCTTTCTGTTTCTGGATGACACCGATTCTTCTGCACCCCCTGGCCTTTGCCCATGCTGTTCCCTCTGCCTCAGATATCCTTCCCTCCCCTCCTCAGCCTTTCCCTCTCAGCCCTTAGTCACCTCTTCCGTGGCTAGATCAAGTTCTCCCTGGGCTCCCCCATCACTTTGCCAGAGACTTCCTACTGTAGCTGGTAGTTCATCAGCTCCCTGCCAGACTCCGAGCCCGGGAGGGCAAGGGCTTTGCCCGTCTTGCTCAGTGCGTGTCTCCAACAGGGTGTCTGGCACACAGTGCTCAGTGAGGGTTGTGGAGGGGGGTTACCGGCAGCGAGGAGTAAGTGAGAGGAGGTCAGCCGGTCTGGTTTTAGGAGGAGCAGACGCCCCCCCACCCCTGCTGGAGGGCTCAGGATTGCTCAGGCATTAAGGACCTGAGCGCAGAGTACAGAGACCTGGGTTCGAGCTTCGCTCCTGCCACTAGCGCCAGGCAGGTTCCCTAATCTCACTGAGCCTCAGTTTTCTCATCTGTCGTCTGGGGACAGTACCAGCCGCCCCCTCTCTGCGGCTATCTAACAGCCCTGGGGGCCGTGGTGGCGGGGGCTCGCCGCGGTCAGCACTCACCAGACGGCGGTGCGAGGCTGACTCTCCTGTCCTCTCCCCGTCTTAGGTGACGGCCATGTCGGTGAGGCTGCGGTTCCTGTCCTCCGGGGACGCGGGGGCTGTCGGGGTCATGGGCCGGAGCGCCTCCTTCGCGGGCTTCAGCAGCGCCCAGAGCCGGAGGATCGCGTAAGTTCTGCCCCGCTGCAGGGTGCGGGGCTGGTTCGTCTCCCGGCGCCTGTGACCCCGCGGGCAGCTCTCCTGCCAAGTCCGTAGCCCAGCACCGTGTGCGCGCATGCGTGCGTGCGTGCGTGCGCGTGCGTGCGTGTGCATGCATACACGCGTGTGCGTGCGTGCGTGCGTGCGTGTGTGACCTTTGGCGCTGGGAGAAACCTGTAATTTCCTTGAGACCCAAATGGGTATCATCTCAGTTGGTGTTGGAAGTTGCAAACGCCCGAGCTTATCAGACCCACTTGGCAGATGAGAAAAAAGGCTCAGAGAAGAGGAGCGGCTCACCCAAGGCCACACAGCAAGACTGGTTCAGAACCGGAACTTAGGCTCCTGGGGGCGGGGTTAGGATGGAATGTTCTTCCTGTTTGACAGAACAGACGTGGGGCCACCTATCCCAGCTCTATGACCTGGGGCCAGTGACTTCACCTTCAAGTCTCGGTTTCCTCATCTGTGAAATGGGGATCATGAGTGTGCCTCCCCCACATAGCTGTCATGAGAGTACAATGAGGTGACACGTAGCAAGCAGCCATTACATGCCGGAGCCCTGCAGATGCTTGTGGAAATTTTCAAAGGAGCAGGAGATGGACCTGGGGTCAGTGCAGACCTTCTAGACATGAATGAGTTCATGGCCACTCCATGTGTTTCCTCCAGGTACAAGTAATCCCCAAGAGGAAGGTTCGTTTCCACTCCTGGGGGCTGCTGCCTGGTCCTGGGCTTCCTATCAGGCAAGGCGCAAACCTGGGGGGCTGCCTGCCAAGTAGCGGGCCTGGGGTATGGGGCATCCTGAGGGGTCCAAACATTTTGCCTGTCCGAGCCAGTGTGGTAGACAGGCAGCTCTCCCAGCCAAGCAGGGCTCCGAACCTGGTTGGTCAGTGAGTCAGTCAACAACCAAATCTCATGGCCTTCTCTTGCCTGAAGCCCTCCACAGGTTTCCAGTCACCTAGAAAACAATCCACTCCCCTCTCCTGGCCGAACAAACAGCTCCTTAATCTCCTTGGGCCCTTGGCTTCACTGCCATGTCCTGAGCCCCAGACCAGGTCTGCCTATGGCTCTTGCCTGGGGTTCCACAGCTGCACAGTCGACCCCCAGGGATGCCTGGCCCTCAGGTCAGGCTCTCCTGGCTCGCCCAGTTGTCTCCTGGCTACTCAGTTCCAGCGTGTGCCTGGGAGGAGTGGCATCTCAGGGCTGAAATCATGGAGTGTCCCAGTTGGAAGCACCCTTAGGAATCCCTAATTCATTCCACAAATATTTATGGAGCACCTCCTTGGCCCAGGCCCAGTCCCAGGCTTTGGGGACAGACCCAGGCCCCACCCTCCTGTCAGGGGGTGAACAAGCAGCCAACTATAACCAAGATGGATTCAGCTGGTGGCAGGTGCTGTGAGCAAATTACAACAGAGGGCTGTGGGAGGGCAGCAGGGGTCTCAGTGGAGGCCCTCAGTGAGGCAGTGGCACGTTTAAGGCCAGGGAGAAAAGCTGCCTCTTTCGTGCGGACAACTGGGGAACTCCTCCAGGTAGAGGGGGCAGCCAGTGCAAAGGTCCTGAGGTGGGGATCAGCTCTGAGGCACAGGAAGTGGGTGTGTCACTGTCTTGTGGGATAGAAGTGAGAGAGGGAGAGCTGCAGGGCTTTTTGGGAGACAGTGAGGACAGTGCAGTGTAAGGGGAGCACTGAAGAAGCGAAGCATGAGAAACGGAAATTCCCAGAGTGAGTGCCCAGTCCCCCGCCTCGAGCCTCCAAAAGGAGAAAGTGTGGATGTCACTGTGAGGAAGGCATACAGAAGGCACTCCATAAGTGCTGCTGAGAGGGGCTAAGTAAACTGGCCAGGGAATGATGATGTTCCTTGATGGACCCGCCCCCACCCCCAGCTGCCTCTGCTGGACTTTATCAGGGCCCCCACCCCATGGGCTCTGTAACCAGGGCTGCTCCGGTCACCCGGCTAAGGGGGTCATCCAGCCACATAACCCTCCCAAGCCGTGGGCCCTGGCGTAGGCACCCAGCAGGTGCCTTTCTCTAACTCACACAGTGGTACCCTGGGGACTTTGTTCCCGTGGCAGGCAAGGGTGGGGCATTCCAGACACCCTACAGCCAAGGCCAGCTGCATGAGTGTGCCATGTGTGTGCGCACTAGCGCCCTGGGCTCAGATGTAATGCTCTGCTGTTCCATCTCGAAATCCTTAATATGTTTTGAAAAAAGCACCCTGCATTTTCTTTTGTTCTGGGTCTCATGAATGGTCCTGCCTGTCGCTCTCCCCCTGCCAGAACTTTCAGGGCCTCTGGACTTCCTGCATCCATGGGAATGTTCCACAGGTCCCCAGTCAGGATCTCTGCCCACATAACATCCCAAGATGGGTCCCTGGCCTCTTGTGGCCCCATTCCGGGATTCCTGGGGTCAGCTCTCTGGGTGGGAAGAGGACAGAGGGCATCTGACCCGGTCCCACGAGGGCTCATTGGCATCAGCAAAGACAAGGTCACATCTCACAAGGTCTGCATCCTAGTCTGAGAAAGATGACCCGATGGCTGGATCTCTCCTGGGGGCTGCTTCTTCTGGAGGATCCCCTACTCGGGGAATTCTGGAGAATTCCCAGCCTTGGTGGGTTCTAAGGTCCCTGAGTGACCACCACCTGGCCTCAGTCTCTTGGGCCCCCTTGTCCATGGGGAAGGAAGAAGCTGCCCACAAGGACAGGGAAGCAGCACATCTATTTTTAACTTCCTGTCTCTGTCCGACTCCCAGGAGTCTAGACCCTTGGCTCTGCGGCTGGACGACCTGGATTGGGTTTCAGACCTCACCTCCTGGCCTTATTTCTCTGGTAATCCAACCAGGCTGAAGCACAGCCACACTGCAGAGGCAGGCAGGAAAAATAACCTCAGATAGGAGAGCAGGAGATCGAAGCTCACTGAGGCCCCCCTGGTCCCCAACCCCCACCCCTGTCCTGGCACCTGAAACCCCTTTGACTTTGGCCTTAGCTTTTTATTCCATAACCAAAGAATTCAATTGAGGAGGTGATCTATCTGGTGGGGAAATTTTACACTAAGGTGTGAATGATGGCTATTAAGGGCATATCTAATACATATATAAGAATGTAATATGAGGCCATATGGACTAAGGCGGGGAGAGGAAGTAGAGGGCCAGGCCCTGATGCTGTCCCATTCTGCCCCAGTTTATAGGCATGGCTGCTTTTAACCCCTTCCTGCCACACCTCGGCCAGTCAGCTCTCCCCCAGGTTGTCAGGAGGGCACCCGTCTAAGCTAGGAGCCACTGTCCTGGCCACCCTGGGCGTTCCTCTGTTGGGATGGCTGGGGCACGTGGGGGTGAAAACTGACCAGTAGCCTTTGATTTTCAAGGAGAGGTGGCCAGAGAAAGAGGAGCGGTTAGGGGTGCAGGTTCTGGGGCCAGAGGCAGTCACAGGACCCGTTTCCTTGACTGTAGAGACGGCGACACCTCAGACACATGTGTAAGAAGGGGCTAGCCCACATGAGGCTTGACCTCCAAGCGTGCCCTGTGCATGTCACACACCCTCCCCGCCCACCAGTACCCCCAGCGTCGGGAGAAAAGGTCAGAAAGGTCAGCTTACACCATCAGCGCACCGGGTTCTGGTCTGAACTGTGGGCGGTTGGTCTATAATTGCCCCCCGCCGCGGCTGCAGCCGGCTCTGCCCGCCTCCAGGCCCCGCACCTGCAGAAGCGGGTGCTGACAACCCCAGGCGGGAGGACCATCCTGGTGGCCTCACGTGAGGGTGGGGGCCACTGGATGGCACATGGCCTTCTGGAAGCTTGTCTGGCATGCCAGAGGCTGTTTCATACTGAGTCCTCCCGGAGCTGGTAAAACCTCCGCCCCCGGAGGCCACTCCCTCCCCCAGCAGCTGTGTCACTAGGCCCGCCTGATGTCACCACCTGAAGGACACACACACATATACACACATACACACACACATTGCCTTCCCAGGCTGAGCCAGCGCTCAGAGCGGCCACCACGGCTGGCTTCCCCAGGGAACCTCAGACAAGAGCCCTGAACTCACAGCCCCCGGCCCCCCGGCCCCCCGCCGCCCCCCCGGAGGCAGGCACAGCTGCAGCAGCGCAAGGAGGTCTCCAGGCAGATGGAGGCGGGGCCCGGCCAAGGGCACCCACCTCCTGGGGACTGTGGACCCCCGGGAGCTGGCAGGTGAGCAGGGTTCTGGCAGCCCCCCTCAAAGTGGCTGCCCCCGCCTCCCGCCCCCTGTCTCCCCACCGGCTGGCCAGGGCCCCAGCCTGTCCGAAGCCCACCTCCCCGAAGGCCACAGCCCGCCTGTGTCTGCCAGCCTGGAGATGTCAGCTTCGTGGAGGATCTGTTCCAAGAGGTGGGTGAGGTGGCCTCAGGCAGGGTGAGGGAGGAGGGAGCACAGCCCCTTTGCCGGCCTCCAAAAACGTAACTTGACATCATATACGAATACGAGCGAAAGCAGGTAGGGGATGAGTGTGCGGATATACCGAGCTTGTGCCCAAGCTGACTGGAGGGGCCTTCCCAGCTCACCCCCACGTAAATTTAAATTTATCATCCTGCTTTTATTTTTGCCCTTGGCGTTTATTATCTTCTCTGACTCTGACACATACATAACACTGACCGTTTGCACAACTCAAAGCTCTTTCCATTTATTTGTCAACTTAGGCAACTCTCATGTAGCGACCTTTTCCTCTGGTGCCCATTTTACAGAGAAAACTGAGGCACCGAAAGGTTCAATAACTTAGCCAAGATCATACAGCTTATAAGTGGGGTTACCATAGAGACCCTGGCATCTAGCTCCAGCGCCTGGGCTGGCTGTCCGGGGGCCCCCCCACCCCCTAGCTGGCCTGGCAGCTCCCCAGGACATGGGTTTTGTCTGTTTCGGTCACTGTTTTACTTCCAGCCCCTAGAGGGATGTTGGTGTGCACTTAGCGCTCACCAGTCAATATCTATTGAAGGAATGACTGTCTCAGGACGGTGCCATGGGGTCAGTCCTTTTTACGGATTGGGAAACTGAGGCTCCAGGATGCTAAGTACCTATGACCTCAGGCTGGGACTGGAACATGGGTGGCTAACCGGGGGCTCCTGTCTCTCAAGACAGTGCAGGCTCCCAGGCTGGCGAGGCCCCCAATCCTCCCAGACTCTTCCTTGCTGCAGTAGCCTCGGGGACCCATTTAGCACACTCGGGCAGGGCCCGGCATCTCTGTTTCTCCCACGTTGGTTTGTGATGTGGCTGCACAGACGTGGCAGGAGCCCAGCCGGAGCAGTGACCGGGATGGCTCCTGTCTCCCGAGTCAGCAGCAGGTGTCTGTGTGTGTGTGTGTGTGTGGACCTCGAAGTGTCTGGCTGAGCTGGACTTATAGCCGGGTTGCCCGCGGAGCCTCCTTGGGGTGCCAGTGAGCTCCTCCCGGCCCTGCTGAGGGAGGGAGCCGGAGCCGTGTCCTGCTTCCCTCTGCCTGGGTCTCCAGACCACAATCCTCCCCTCCTCCCGTGGACAGAGAGAGCCTTCGAGGGTGGGACCCCGGTCCCTTGGCTCCCCTCACGTGTCTGACTCAAGAAAAGCCCAGCTCTGTGAGTGTTTGAATGAGTGAGTGAGTCCCAGACCCTTGGTTTTAGGTCTCAAAAGTGTAGGAAACTCTAAAGGACGCCCAGGGAGAGAGGCATAGCTGGGTTTCCGCCCCCGAGTGGAGAGTGGAGCGTTAGTGAATCCCCTCAGACAGCGGGCCTCGGACCAGCAGCACTGGCAGCCCCGAGGAGCATGTGAGAAATGCAGATTCTCAGGCCTAGCCCAAGACCCAGTGACCCCGAAACTGTGGTCAGGGGAGGGTCAGATCAGATGACCCCGAGGGCCCAAGGGAACCCCGCGCCCCGTCCCCAGATTGGTGGTTCACCTCCCAGGCCGGGTATCTGCCCACGAGTGGGTTTGGATCCCAGCTCTGCCACATGCATGATCCAGGGCAAATGACTTATCTGAGCCTCAGTTTCCCTACCTTGCAGTAGGGTTAAAATCAATGTTTATATAAAGCCCTTAGCAGGCAGGGGAAGCAGCAGACGCTCAGAGAACACCTTCTCTCCATGCACCCTCGTTATACTCCCCCGTTGTCATCCTCGAGGTCTTTGAAGCTGGGGAGCTGGTCATCTCCTCCTCCCTCCCCATCGTGGGTTCCCCCAGGCAGGGAGGACCCCCACATCCAGCTTCACCCTGCTTCGGTCAAGCCTGGCTCATTGCTCTGTGCCTGCCGTCACACACAGATTGGATGGCTCCTCCTCTCCTCCCTGGCTCACTCTGACCCCCCCAAAACACCCTTCTGGGGCTCACCCCTCATCCTGTTCTTCCTCTGAGGTCCAGCTGAGTGCTTGGGTTCCCAGACGTCTCTGCTCTCTAGTCCCCACATCATGCTGTATTTCCTTCCCTCGTTCTATTCAGGTCAGCACTTACTGAATACCTACTGTTTTCCAGGCTGTGGGTACAGGGAATGATACGGATAGGATATGATGATTATAACAGTAGGAAACACTTATTAAGCACCTACTGCCTCCGCTGGGCCAAATATTTGACCTGGTGTCTAAGAGAATTCTCAGCACTGCTTTCTGGTTTAGGGTCTATTGTTTTCCCATTTAACAGAAAAGTAACTGAGACTCTCGGGTAGTGCATTAGCATAGAGGTGAAGTTCCTTTGACAAAGAAACTCCCCCAAATACAGGGACTTAAATAAGACTGCTTATTCTCCCCTGCACCCCTCCCCACCTCCCACTTGGTGCATGCTCCCCTCTCCCCCACCTTTCTCTCTCTCCCCTCTTGGCTCCCCACCACCTCTCTCTTTCCCCACCCATCCCCCACACCTCACCCCTGCCCTGGACCTTAGAGCACAGGTTGAAGCTGACTCCTTAGCACACCTGGGAGGAAGACAGGGAGGGAGGAAGTTGGAAAGAAAAGCTAGTGGCTCCTTTAAGAAACTGACCCAGATGTTAGTCTGAGTGTCATTTCTACCCTAGTTTCTTCTCAGAGAAGGGAGTCGGTGAAGCTACACAAGGTGCAGAGTCATCTGGGAAACAGGGTCTTTAGAGGCTGAGCCTTTAGAGGATGGACTAAAGCCCGCCCGGTGGTGAGTTGTCAGCTCGCCCTGGTCTTGTACTTAGTGGATGAGACATAGGATCACAGGACTCTAGAAGGTGCTCAGATGGCAGTGAAGCAGCTCCTAACTGTAATGAGGGAACCCTCACCTTGCAGGACTGCAGTGACTCCTGACATGCTGCTCTCTCCCTCTAGGGCTGACAGACACAGCGGTCACTGCCAGGAGACATCACTTCTTAGGATCATTCAGTCCACGCCCCCAACTCCAATAGGCTTAGCAAAAAAGAGAACCAATTGGCTCATGTAACTGAAATCCCATGGGCAGGTCTAGTTTCAGGCATAGCTGGATCCAGGAACTCATCGTTGTGTGGATTTGGCCTGCCTCCACCTGCATCTCCATGTGTTGGTTCCATTCTCCCTACCATGATGCAAAGGACGTGGCTGGCAGTTCCGGGTACATGTTCCCCCAGAATAGCACCGCCAGAAGAAAGAACCATTTGCCTGCCTGTGAATTTGGAACCAAACTCCAGGCAGGGTTACTGGCCAGACATGGGTCCTGTACCTCTCTGAGCCAGGGGAGTGGAGTCTGTTGACTAACCCAGGCCTGGGATATGTGTTTGACTCAGAATACCTGTGTGTGTGTGTGTGTGTGTGTGTGTGTGTGTGTGGTCATTTGTCAGGCTACCTCCCTCCAAACCACATGTATAAAGAGCAGAGTTAGGGAGATGCCCCAGAGGAAAACTGAGGTGCTCTTCCCAGAAGGATGGGCATGGATCCCAGGCAGACTAAGCCAACAGGTGCCTGGGCTACGATCTGGCCTCCCGGCTTGTTTGCCTGTATAGACAGAGCACACTGTATAGACACTGTATAGACAAACCACTGGCCTTTGGGCTGCTCGAATGTATTCCTCACCGTGTTAATTTCTCACGTCAAGTTCTTCTTTGTCTTTTTTTTAATCTTCAAATGCAAGCCTTCATTTTACAGATGAGGAAACCAAGGCCCAGAGTGTCTTTGCAACTTGCCTCAGACCACATGGCACCCACATGGGGTGGGACTCAGCCAGGCCTCCTGACAGACTGGGGTTTGGTCACTGATCCCAGAGCGCCTGTCCCCGGGGAGGGCTTTGTCTAACATCCCTGCTCTGACCCTCCGCCCTTCTCACAGAAAGTCCATCCACAGGAACTCCGTGAGGTCTCGGATGCCTGCAAAATCCTCCAAGATGTACGGCACGTTCCGGAAGGGGTCTGTCTGCCCCGATCCCAAGCCGCAGCAAGTGAAGAAGATCTTTGAAGCCCTCAAGAGAGGCCTCAAGTAAGGACCCTGTTTGTTGCCCTGAAAGTGCTCGTCCTCTGTCCTTACCTCCTCTCTTCTCGGCCCCTCACTGAGGAACACGCTTGGGTCTCGTCCGAGGGACCCAGCTCCTGCTCATTCCTTTAGCCCACGAGCATATCCTGGGGGCAGCCCCACGCTCGGGCCTGTCCTTGGGCTCTAGGGACACGGTGCAGGCTGTCGGAGGACGCTGGTCTCGTGGCGCTTATGGTGTAGAGGGGAGACAGCAACGAGGGAGTGACGCAGTCGACAGTAACTGCCACCAGCCCTGAGGGCAATGAAGGAAGGTGACGGCGAGGCAGCGTGTGGAAGGCCTAGCAGACAGGGTGACCCGGGACACTCGCCGAGGAGATCCGGGTGGTCGTGCTGGCCTCTGGGAGATAAGCATCCCTGGCAGAGGGAAGAGCATAGGCAAAGGCCGTGAGGTAGGAGCATGTAGGACGGGAGGCCAGGGTGGCTGGATCTGAGTGCAGGAGAGGTGGACTGGTTAGCTGGGCAGAGCCCAGGACGGGAAGATTCAGCCACTTGCTCCACACCTTTTGCTTGAGGGCTTTTGAAGCGCTAGGCACAGGGTGTGGGAGTGAACACAACCCAGAAATCCCTGCCCCGTGGAGCTTCCTAATGGGAGACAGACAGACAACAAACAAAATACAGAGTAAGTCAGGTGGTGGTAAGTAAATCAGGGTAAGAAGGCATGGGGCTGATTTTAAATAAGAGGTTCAAAGAAGCTCTCATTAAGAAGGTGACATTTGAGCAAAAACCTGAAGGAGTGAAGGAGTGCGACCAGCAGATAATGGAAAAAGAACATTCTAGGCCAAGCCAGCCACACGTGCAAAGTCCCTGGGGCAAGAGCGTGATGAGAGCATCAGGGGTCTAGTAAGCAGGCCAGCTTGGGAGCTGAGAGAGGGAGGGAGGGGTGAGGAGGTCTGGGGGACAATGGGGACCAGATGTTACGGGGTGAGCTGGGAGCCACGGAGGGTTCCATGTGGGGGAAGGACCTGATCCGAGTTTGGTTTTAATAAGATCCTTCTGGCTATACGTGAAGAATGGACTGCAGGGGCCTGGGGCAGAAGTGGGGAGGCTGGTAAGAAGGTGACTGCAAAGGCCCAGGTGGGAGACAATGGTGGACGTGGCCAGGTGGCAGCTGTGTGGTCAGGGGACAGGGTCAGTTTCAGGATATATTTTGCAGGTGAGCAGACAGGATTTACTGAGGGAGGGGTCGGAGGTGAAGAGGGAGATGAAAGGAGGTAGTTGGGGCACAAACCTGAGGTTCACGGAGGTCAGGGCTCTGGCTTAGGCGCGGTGCTGCCCCATGGGTAAGTCACAAGGAGGGCTGCTGCCAGTAGTCCCTCCCTGTTCTTCAACTCCGAACTGGGCATCCAGGGCCATCTTGCTGCAGTCCTGGGCCCGCCCCTACCCACCCCTTCCCCACTTGCCACCTTGCTCTGCTCAAGTCTCTCCCATGGCTCCCTACTACCCCTGGGAGGACATCAGGGTCCTTTCTGACCTTCCATCTTTCTAGACTTTTCTTCTGTTATTCACTCCCCATCCTCACTGGTCCCCGGATATGCCATCTTCCTTCACGTGCCTGTGCCTTGGCTCCTGCTGAGCAGGAACTGGGCAGTGGGGAGTCTCCGCAGGCCGCCATCCGCCCATGTCCCTAGGTCAGCACACATGCATGCTGAATCCAATGCTGTTCCTTCCTGCTGGGATGCCTGTCCCTCCCCACCCCCTTGTGATCCTGCTCTCCGTGCCTCACTAATTAGTAACAGTGACAGCAGCAGGTATGGCTCATTCGGGACTTCATACACATCGTCCCCTCGAATCCCCGAAGAATTCTCTCAGAGAATCTCCTAACCTCCTCCTCCCCTCAGGAGAGGAAACTAAGTCCCAAAGCTGGGAATCAACTTGTCCACGGTCCCACAGCCAGGAAGCAGGGCATAGGGCTCCAGGGCCAGTGCCGACCTGCCCTGTGTCCCCGCCAGCTCAGGGTAAATGTCACCTCCCCAACTTGCCAGGTCCTGACTGCCAGCCCAGGGGGCATCCAGTACCCTTGGCCCATGATGCGCGCTGCACGACTGACCCAGTGCCGGTGCAGAGTGGCTGTGGGGAGCACATGTGCCTAGAGCCCGTCTTCAAGGGGCTCATCTCCGGGGACTCCCTTTGACGATTCCTGTAAGGACCACACATTTGGGACTTGTCTGGGCTCACTCAACAGCGTCCCCTTCTTCCTGGGGAGCCCAACCCCTGAGTGAGCAATGGCCTGGCCGATGGTGGTGTAGGGGGGCCCAGAGAGGGCGAGTCACCTTCCTGGGGCAGCCCAGTAAATCCATGATGAAGCAGGATGGGACCTCACCCTGGCCCCCAAGTCCAGACTTTAGGCTTCAGGTCTAGGGCTCTTTGGCTGGAAAAGAACATGAAATGTCCCCTCCAGGCCTACAGCTTTCTCTGTGCCTCCCAGAATGGGTCTTCCAGCCCTTCTCTGCTCCTTGGTCCTAAACATGCAGACATCAGGACAGCCTGCTTTTGTTGGGGAGGGGAGCGTGCCCTTGTTGAACCCTCCATGGGCTGGGGTGAAGAAGGGGCCTCTGAAAGTCACTTCCTGGTTTCAGACTTGGGTCCAGCCTCTTCCCTGTTGTGACTCTGGGCTGAGTTCCTTGCCAATTTTGAGGGTCAGTGTGCCCATCTCTAAAATGGGTATAATAACAGTAGGACCTATTTGTGTCGCTGTTTGGTGAATTAATGGACAGATTTTCCCTTTTGCACAGCCCTGGGCATACAGCCCTCAGCATGTGGGATCTGGAGGCTGAGCGAGCTGGGGGCCAGGTTTCCGGGGGGCGGGATGGCTCTGTCCCTCTGACCTCAGGTCTGTGCCTCGACTAGCTCCTTTCATCTCCCTCTTCACCCCCAACCACCGCTGTTCCTGTTGGCAGCTGTGGCCGCCTCGGCTCCAGAACACGGGTCACCTGGCCATTTCTTTTCCTCTTCTTGTTCCTTGGCAAACTGCTCTTCCTCGTTCTCCTCACAGGGAGTATCTCTGCGTCCAGCAGGCGGAGCTGGATTACCTGTCAGGTCGCCACAAGGACACCCGCAGGAATTCGAGGCTGGTGAGACCTCTCCCTGCCCCTTCCCACCCAAGCAGCCTTAGTGGGGTGCAGAGATGGGCTCCCCCTCACCCCCGGCCTGCATCATGGGTGTAAATCTCCGTCCTGGAGCTCAGAGGCCTAAGGGATGGACTGTCTGTATTTTTCGATGATCCCACCTCACTTGGCCCCAGAGGGATTTCGCCTCACAGGTGGAGAGGAAGCTCTCACCCTCCCTCCCCCTACTCCCCCCCCACCCCGTTCAAGCAGTTCACCCCCACTTTCTGGCTCTAGAAGCAGTTGTGAGGTAGGCAAGCGTACAAAGGCTCCTCTGTTCTAGCTGCTCCCACTTCACAGATGGGCACACTGAGGTGGGGGAAGGGGTGGCCACGCCGGGGATCTGGGGTCTTGCCTCCCTGGACACGGCTGCTTCTCAGCTTTCTGCCAGTTCCTTTTCCTTCCAAAGGCTTGAGAATTTTCCTATTTCTCTATAGCTTACGTGGAGTCTTAACTCCATTAGCACACACGTACCACTTCTCATAAACGCAAATGTGGGAAAACACACACTTTGGGGGATTTGAACCCACCTGTTCTTTTGCTTGACACCCCCTCCTCCCCCGTGTTCAGTGTCCCACCCTGTTTCACCTCTGAGGACAATCTAGGATTTCTCTTTCCATATTTTTCTCCCTGGTCACGTAGTCGTGTAAGCTCACGAAAGCGTCGAGAAGGTTTTGGTCAACAGTTGTCTTAGAAAGACGAAGTTACAACCTACCCACCGTCCCATGTGTGGCTTTCTCTCTCTAGTGAATCTCTGACCTCGTGGAAATTCCTCCCGGCTCAGGCAGGGTGATTTGAGCTACGTGGGCAAATGAGGGCCTGTTTGGAAATAGAGTTTATCGGCACATGGCCACGGCCACCACTGACATGTTGGGTGTGGCTGCGTGCGGACCACGTGGCAGAGACCACGTGGCCCCCAAGGCCGAAACGATTTCCTGTCTGGTCCTTTATATGAAGATCTGCCCAGCTGATATGTTCTTTTTTTGGCCACCCCCGGCCCCTGGCATGACTGGGCCAGTCTTGATTTGCATTTCCCCAAGCCTGAACCCCCTGCCCCTGGGGCGGCCCCTCCCTCCGTCCCTCTGCCCATGGTCAAAATGACCCCTTAAACAATCAGACTGTAATGGTCCCCATTTTGTCGAGGGCTTATCGTGTCCTTGACTTTCCACGGCAACCTTATGGGGCAGGTGCTCTGTGCTATGGCCACCCCATTTTGCCCGAGGAGATGGAGGCTCAGAGATGTGTAGTAACTGGCCTGGGACACACAGCTGGGAAGCAAAACCAGGCTGAGAACTGCCTCAGCCCAAAGCGCATGTGTTTATCGCTCTTCCCCCGGACTCCAGACCAGGCCACTGACTGCAGGCCGCAGAGGAGGGAGTGGCTGCTGGTTTTCTGTCATCTGAGTTCAGGTGCCCCTGGGATGTGGCCTCATGGGTCTTGGAGGAGCACCCGGAGACCTGACAACCCCCTCCTCCCCCTTCTTTTCTCCCCCACAGGCTTTCTATTATGACCTGGACAAGGTGAGCGAGACTTTCTGTCTGCAGGGCCGTAAGCAAGGTGGGCCGGGGCTGGGCCCTGCTGGGTGAGAGGGACCATGTATTTCACCCTTTGGGCTGTCCTGCTGGAGGCACGCCTGGGTTTCCTCCCTATTTTACAAATGGGGAGACAGGTTCAATGACAAGCCTTCCTCGAGGATGGTGAGGGGCTGGCCTGGCTTTGAGCCCCATTCTGTGTGTTAGGACCCAGAGGAAGGTGCAGGGGCTGGTGGCCGGGTTGGGGGTGGGGTGCGGCCCAGACTACTTTGAAAGCATCTTTTTTTTTTTTTTTTCCGGGAGAAGCAAACTCGCTCTGTGGAAAGGCATATCCGGAAGATGGAGTTTCACATCAGCAAGGTCAGCCTGCCTCCTGGAGGTCATGGTGTGGGGCTGGGACTTCCTGGACTTCAAGTGGGTTGGCAGGGGAGAGGCTGAGAAGGAGCAGAGTCTGCAGGGGCTCAGCCCTGAGGTTGGGGTCAGCGGGAAAAGGGGGTGCTGGGCTCCCCAGGAGTGTGGGGTTTAGAGGGAAAGATCTTATGCTCCATTTTACAGGGCGAGAAGTCTGAGTCCAACCACCCCATTGCAGAGATGGGAGAGTAGAGGCCCAGAGAGGGACAGGATGGGCCCAATGTCACACAGCAAGGCCTTTAAGCTTTATACTCTACCAGCTCTTCCATGCCCTTGCTTTACTCTCCCGGCGGCCCAGTGGCTGGGCAGGGAATCACAAACCTACCTTCCCCGTTTTACAGTCCAGAAGTTGGACAGGGAGAGGGGAAGTGGTACTTTTGCCCACCCAATTCACTAGTTTTTACTGTGCACTGCCAGGCGCTGCGTGCAGAGTGCGTAAGCAGTGTGGTCTCTGTCCCTGGGCTCACATTCATGGGCGGGGGACCCCAGGACCGCTGACCCTGTACTGCAGGGCTGCGTGGGGCCCTGCGCCCCGGCACGGACAGCACCTGGCAGCCTGTGCACCTGCCGCAGGTGGATGAGCTCTACGAGGGCTACTGTATCCAGTGCCGCCTGCGGGATGGAGCCTCCAACATGCAGAGGGCCTTCTCCAGGTGCCCGCCCAGCCGCGCCTCCCGAGAGAGCCTGCAGGAGCTGGGCCGCAGCCTGCAGGAGTGCATCGAGGTGGGTGGGCAGTGGGGGATGCAGAGGGCAGCCTATGGGGGGGGTGCCTGGACCCCGAGGAAGCATCCCTCTCTGTCCACCCCCCTCCACCCCCCGGGCCTCTGGCTGGCAGGATCTGCATGCCCCCCTCCTCCCACCTCACGTGGCCCTGGGCTGGTCCGTGAGCCACCTTGTGTGGGGCTTTGCAGGACATGTGGCTCATCGAGGCGGCCTTGGAGGTTCACCTGGGAGAGTTCCACATCAGGATGAAAGGTAACAGAGCTGAGAGCGGGAGGGGGCAGAAGCCAGTTTGGGTGGAGGCCTCAGGCCTTCTTGGGGGCCCTGGGACTTCTGCTCAGGGTGGGGCTTTGGTCAGAATCCCAGGGCTCCAGGCAAAACTCTGGGCTTCCTCTCATGGGACCTGTGACCTCAGCAGAGGCCCGTCCCCTGAGTTGGACGTGAGGGCCCAGTCCTGTCCACTGCCCATCCTGACGACTTATCCCTCCCTGAAGCGGACACCCACACTTGGGTAGGGGGTTCCCCAGTGAGGGCCTGAGGTCCATGGGGTGGGGGGCAGAGTAGGCCAGAGAGGAGATGAGCCCGTCTCTGTGTTCCAGGCTTGGTGGGCTACGCACGCCTCTGTCCCGGAGACCAGTATGAGGTAGGGCCACCTCTGCTGTCAGGCCTCAGGGTTCCTCCCCACCAGGCCTTAGGGGGTTGGGAGCTCCTGGGAACCAGGGTCCCTGCTGGCGGACCCCCAGACAGGTGGCAAGGGGGCGGGCCTACCTGGGGCAGCTGACCTATCCCTTCCTGGCCCATGCCACAGGTGCTCATGCGTCTGGGCCGCCAGCGCTGGAAGCTGAAGGGCCGGATCGAGTCAGACGACAGCCAGACCTGGGAGGAGGAGGAGAAGGCCTTCATCCCCACCCTGCATGAGAACTTTGAGATCAAGGTGGGTGGAGCCTGGGGGACGGGGCCTGGGTGTCCAGGGACTCAGCTCAGACGCCATCCACAACTGCCCCCCACCCAGGTGACAGAGCTGAGGGGCCTGAGTTCACTGGCAGTGGGCACGGTGACATGCGACATCACGGACTTCTTCACGACCAGGCCACAGGTGATCGTGGTGGACATCACAGAGCTGGGGACCATCAAGCTCCAGCTGGAGGTGCTGTGGAAGTAAGTGGGGGCCCGCTGCCTTCCAGGGCTTTGATGCCCCTCCCCAAGGCCAGCCCCAAATTCCCACCCACAGGACTCCCACCCGCAGCGGGAGCGGTGAGGGGCCTCCCTGGCTCCCCCTGGTGGTCGGACCTCAGCCTAGCACGCACCAGTGGGCCTCCTGCCCTCATCCTGCCCCACGGACAGGCTGGAACCTAGACTCCTTCGTAGCCTCTGCCCACCCGACCTTCCCCGCCCTCTGAGTTCTCGTTCCCATCTTACAACTAGAGACCCGTGCTGGCCGGGACCCTTTCCAGGGGCCTGCTGGGCTGGGTTCTGTGAGGGAGCCTAGTCTCCGCCCAGGAGGACTCACCGACAGCCCCCTTCCCTTCCTTCCCCTGCAGGCACAGGCGGAGCACTCACTTAGCTCCCCTGGACCAGGAGCCCATGGATGGGGGACACTCATGAAAACAATCCCTGCCCGGGGTGGGTGGCTGTCCATCAGGCATTGCAGGGGGCAGGGGTTGTTTCGGGCCGTTCCCTGAATGCTGGTGGTCTGCACGGGCTTTGGGTTTGCTCTTCCTCTAAATGAAACCTATCGTTTTGAGAGAATTTTCTTCTCTTTGCTGTGCACGGCAGGTGCTGCGGGAGCTGAGGGCTGAGGCACGCTTCCTCCGGGCGGGTGCTTGCTCTGACTCTTGGGGCCACTCTCTCCAGTCTCTTTCTGGGGTGGGCATCCAACCCTGGGTCCCTGCTGCTGCTTTCTCCCCAGTCGGGTGAATTGGGGCAAGTGAGCACCCCCAGCCTCAGTGTCTTCACCTGTCTCGTGGGGGCGGGGGACACTTTTTCCCCGGGAGGCCCCGTGAGCCCATAGGGACCTCCACGGGAGGGAGGCAAATCCAAGGCGGCAAGCATCCCGCGGCCTGTAGGTGCCCACGGCAGGCAGGGAAGGCTTCCCAAGAGGCGCCTGCAGCGTCTGGGTCCCCACAGAGCCAGAGCCAGGCCTTTGAGTGAAGGAGAGGGAACAGGTTTCCATGTGGTAGGGAGATTCCTAGACCTCCTGGCTCCCAGGGCAGGCTCAGGGAGGGCCCGGCTGAGCCCCACTTCCCCTGTATTTCACACGTTCCTTTTGGATTCCCCACCTTACCTGTGACCAGGACCGACAGAGGTCCTTTGAGAGATAATGGTGCCCCTTGTACAGATGAAGACAAGAGGGATGGTAATGTCGCTGACCCAGAAAACGGCAGAACGGAGTGTCCACTGTGCCTCTGCTGAGCTTCTCAGGGGAACCTCCAAAGGGGGTGCCATTCACATGAGCCATTTGGCTCAGGGCCCTCAGGGTGATGGGAGTCTGGGATGTTCCCAAGGGGGTTGAGCATGTGCACCTAGAGTCCCTGTGCTGTGCCTGTGACCCCAAGCCAGGCCCCTGCCAAGCCTCTATCCCTCTTAGAAGCCCCCCAGGTCTGGTCTGTGCTCCGGGGTCCTCCCAGGCGTGGATGACACCCTGCCCTTCTACTCTCTCCTCCAGCCCGTTTGATACTGAGAGCTTCCTGATGTCACCCAGTCCCACAGGCAAGTTCTCCATGGGCAGCAGGAAGGGCTCCTTGTACAACTGGACACCCCCAAGCACCCCCAGCTTCCGAGAGAGGTATTACCTGGTGAGTGAGCCTCCCCGGGGCAGGGATGCTGTGGTCATGCCGGGATTGCGGATAGGGGCCGCTCCCTGGGGGCTGGCATGCGGGGCTGGGCCGAGCAGCCTGGTGCCTCGGGAGGTAGTAAGCCCTGGAATCAGCCTCCCTTGTTTTGGGGTCATCCTGGGTGGGTTTCGGGGCTCTTCCTTCCTCACTGTCAGCCCTCCGTTCTGGGGGCCTCTGGGCTCGGTTCCGGGCTTGGCTGGTTCTCCTGGAGGCCTGGAGTCATGTTCTCTGGAGGGTTCTACCACCCCCATCATAGCCTTGGCCTCCAATTTACTTGTTTTAAAATTAAATTTAATATATGTTCCTAGTAGGTAATACCTTGACATAGTGTATAGTAAAACATCTCTTTCCCATGACCTCCAGAGATCTGGGTCCTTTCCTTAGCCCAACTATCGTTGTCAGCTTCCTCCATACTCTGGCCAGGGCGGGCCCGGCGTACTTCAGTTAAAACAACAACAACAAAAAATCACATCTGGTCCAGAGTATGGACTCTGCAGCCAGACAAGCGGGGCGTCAAATTCCGTTTATGCCTCTCACTTGCTGTGTGACCTTGGGCGAGGCACTCAACCGCTCTGGTCATCAATTCCTGTATCGGAGAACTGAAAACAACAGCACCGCCCTGGTGGGGGGTTGCAAGGATTAAACAAGGGAATACACGAGAAGGGCTTGGAAGAAGGCCTGATGAGAACGGCTGGTGCTGTGGGAACATCAACAGTTACTAGTGGTCTAAGGGGAGGGAAGGGCTGCAGCAGAGGGGGCGAGGGTTCGCCCATTCCCATCACCCATTCAGAACTCTGTGCCAGGCCCTGTTTTAGGCCAGGTGAGGACGGTGTCCTCAGGGACAAGGGGGTAAGGACCTTGGGAACATAAGCAAGGAAGGGGACTCTGGGGCAAGGTGGGACTTGCTCCTTAAAATAGGGTGTGCAGGGGAAGGTCCAGTGAGGGTGCCATCTGAGTGAGGGCCTGAGGGGACAAGGGCACGACCACAAAGACCTAGGGGGAAGAAGGTTCCAGGAAAAGAGCACAGTCCCTGCAAAGGTCCTTGGACAGGAAGGCGCGGAGCCTGGAGGTCATGAGCAATGGTGCGGTGGCCCCAGGGGCTGGAAAGGAGTGAGTTAGAAGGACGATGGGGATCTGGGCAGAGACACTGCAGGGTCCTGTCAGCACCTCCTGGCTACCAGTCGCCTTGGTGGGCCTCAGTCACGTTGACAGGGTGGGTGTCTAGGGAGGGAAGCGCCACTGGGGGCTTTGTCCTGGTTCCTGGTGTGACAGTGAGGCTGGTCCTGTGTCCCCTCCCCAGTCTGCCCTGCAGCAGCCAGCACAGCAGGCTTTGCTGCTGGGTGGGCCGAGGGCCACCCCCATCCTCAGCTACCTATCTGACAATGACCTTCGGGGCCCGGGCCTGCGGAGCCAGAGTCAGGAGCTGCCTGAGATGGACTCCTTCAGCTCCGAGGACCCCCGAGACACGGAGACCAGCACCTCAGCCTCTACCTCGGACGTGGGGTTCCTGCCCTTGGCCATTGGCCCCAACACCTCCATCGAAGAGGAGGCCCAGGAGGACCCCCAGCCCCTGGGCCTCCTGCCAGAGATAGCCCATCTGGCTGGAGCCGCCCTTGTGGAGCAGCCTGGCTGGAGGAATTTGGGAATAGAGGACCCCGACCTGCCAGGAGGCTCCCCAGTGCACAACCATACAGCCCCGGGCAGCCAGAAGGACCATGACAAAGGAGAACCCGAGGACAGAGTGGATGGGCCAGAGGTGACCCTTGAGAGGCCCCTGCAAGAGGTCCTGGATTTACTGCGCTCCGTGGACCCCCAGCCACAGCTGCGGGAGCTGGAGTACCAGCTTCTCAGCTTCAGGGACCAGCTGAAGGTGGGTGTATGCGTTTACCAGGGCCTAACAAGGGGGAGTCGTCTCTGGGGGCAGCCGGCCTGGGCCAGCATCGTGGTCAGTGTCTTCCCTCTGAGCCTCAGTCTGCTCATCTGTCAAGTGGGGAGAACAATGGCCCTCACTGGCTGGGAGGAGGATTGTAGAGGAAGTCGGGGATCGGGGCAGATAACCTGCTCTGCGCCTGGCCAAGAACCTCATCTAGCATCTTTTTTTTTTTTTTTTAAAGATTTTATTTATTTGACAGAGATCACAAGTAGGCAGGGAGGCAGGCAGAGAGAGGGGAGGAAGCAGGGTCTCCATGGAGCAGAGAGCCTGATGCGGGGCTCAGTCCCAGGACCCTGAGATCATGACCTGAGCCGAAGGCAGAGGCTTTAACCCACTGAGCCACCCAGGCGCCCCCATCTAGCATCTTCTGACCCAGGCAGGTGGGGCTGAGGCTGGGTGTTCCATTCCCAAAGCTGGGGTGTGTTTGGGGCCAGAGCTAGTGTCACAAAAGGCCCCACACAGCCGCACCCCCTCCCCTGAGCCTAGTTCTCAGCAGGGCCCGTGGCAGGGGTCATCCTCAGGGCGCTGGCCTGGGCAGATCATTTTTTCCAATGACACAATTTTAAATGTGCGGACAATAAAGCGTGTAACGCCAGCACCAACTTTAACATCAGTTAATTTCTGCAACCGCCGTCTGTGGTTTCAACACATACTAGTATTGAAATAGTTTCACGGCTCTCCTCAAAAATTATTCTGGGGGGACTTCCAGACTTAGAATGGCCCAGCCGCCGTGCTGGAGAGCGGCCTCGTGCTCCCGAGCGCCGGGAGGCCGTGATGGGCCTGGGAAGCTACATACGTGGGCACAGCCTCGCTCCGGCGTGAGTTACGGTACTGGGGGCGGGGGAGCTCCGTGTTAGTGAACCGTTGGTGTAAATTCAATACGGTGTTTTTCCCAGAAACACATAAAACGAGGTTCTGTGCTGTAAGGGTTGATGAAAATGTTGTGACCAGAGGCTCAGGGTCCCTGCATTTCTCCTAGGAGTGATGCTAGATACTCCGTGCATTCTGAGGAGCGACTGTATGTGTGTGTGTGTGTGTGTGTGTGTGTGTGTACACGCATACACACATACACACACATTTTTTTTTTTCCTATCAGGCGAGGTAATCTCTGGACTTAGCCTTGTCATTCTCTCGTTACTCAAGGTTTTCCCTGTGGCCTACACCTTTGGGAGCCTCGTTCTGGCCCTCAAGGTGGAATCCGGGGACACTCTGTGTGGGACAAGGCCTGGGCATGCTGGGGATGGGGACACAGCGAGCCCCAGTGTCCCACTGTGAATCAAGAGGAGGCCGACATCTCCCACAGGGGATTTCTAGATGCTGAGGAGGGGACCTGGCTTGGGGAGACTTGACTGGTGCCAGGAGCCGTGGCACCATCACTCTGCCAGCCAGGGGGTGCCTTGAAGGTCCTCTCCTTCCGCGTCTCCCGGGGAGGAGAGACACTTGAGATCTAGAGGCTCACCTCGCAGCCTGTGAGCCTCCTGAGGAGGTGCTGGGCCTGACCCACGCCATCTTTTTAAAAATAATTTGGGGGGCGCCTGGGTGGCTCAGTGGGTTAAAGCCTCTGCCTTTGGCTCAAGTCATGATCCCAGGGTCCTGGGATTGAGCCCAGCATTGGGCTCTCTGCTCAGCGGGGAGCCTGCTTCCCTTCCTCTCTCTCTCTGCCTACTTGTGATCTCTGTCAACTAAATAAAATATAAAAAAAAATAAAAATAATTTGGAATTGGTGGCCAATATTTAAAAATTGGCAACTTCCCACAAAAATCTAGATTTCCAGCTTTTTTTTTTTTTGAGAATTGAACAATCTGACAGCCCTGGCCCTGCCCTGTGGGCTGTGAGCCAGGTGAGGCTTTTCAGACCTGTGTCCTTTGTGCTCCTGCGCCATCCCTTGTCACAGGCTACCTGCCTGTCCTTTACTGGGGGGTTTCACTGGGGCAGTTAAGGCTCACACCCCTGTCCTAAGGGTCCGAGCTGAGGGCTCACCGCTCCGTCCACAGCCCTGCGGAGCTCCCCAGGAGCACGCCTCTGCCGAGAGCCTGATGGAGTGCATCCTGGAGAGCTTCGCCTTCCTCAATGCTGACCTCGCCCCACAGGAGCTGTCCCTGTTCGGGGGCTGCCCAGGTCCCCGGTAAGTGCACTCCCCTCCCAGCACAGACCCAGGGAAGCAGCCTCCATTCCAGGCCTCCTGTGGGCTTCCAGCCGATGCCATCTATGGCCCTGGGCCCAATCTGTACTTACCTCGTTTGTCTGTCATGCTCCCCACCCCTGCGTGCCCACCGCCTGGCGCGGAGCGGGCCGGTACTGACCACTGAGTGAGTGACAGTCCCCCAGCATGGTCCTCAGCTCTGAGCAATGGGCTGTTTTGTGTTCATCTTAAAAAGTGACGGCAAAGCACACGATAGAACCTCTGTGCTCTGCCTCACATACGGGCAGCAGTGAGCAGTGACCCACGCTCCCCATTCTTCTGCACAATTCGCCCTTACCTCTGACATCCACCTCCTCCGCTCAGCAGCCCCATCTGCCCCGCTCACACCTGGCTCCTGGACCAAATCTCAGCGGCAGCAAAGAGGATACACAATAAACTTTGTCTCCTCCTCTCACGACCCCATGGGGAGGGGCTGGCACTCCCACCCGACATCCCAGGGTCACCGTGTCCTCGGGCTTTGGGCTCGGCTCCTACCATGAAGTCAACATGGTGCCAGGCCTGCTGGCTGGCAGGGTTGCCCTCACCCCTCATTGCCCTGAGCTTGGTATTCCTATCCCCACTTTACAGATGAGTACACTGAGGCCAGGAGAGCAGACCAGTCCTGAGTCACTAAGGATTAGTTTGTGACCAAGTCCGGAGCTAAGGATTAGTTTGAACTTCTGACTTCAGGTCGCCCACCCTGGAAAGTGTCCCCAACTCCCCCTGTCTCCAGGGCCCACACCAAGCCAGCACCTGTTCTGAGTTGCTGCTGGCTTTTGCTGCTTTTCTCTTGGATTTCTCCTGGGTAGAATTCTTTCTCCCTGGGGCCTGGAGTGAGCCTCCCTGATCAGAGCTCTCTAAGAAGGGAGGGTGTCTTCTCTCCTCGGAGGGAGCTGGGCTGCTAACTGGAATGGTTACCCAGTTCTTCTCGATCCAACACAGAAAGGACAGGATCCCGCTGCCCCCAAGGAAAGCGTCATCTAGGGGGCTCACGGCCGGCACCCTGGAGCTGGACAGGCTGCTCACGGTCCACCTCCAAGTCTGCAAAGCTCTGCTGCAGGTGACTAAGGGATGGGGATGCAGGGTGGGGGGTGGCTTGGTGGGAAACCAGGTTGGGGATGGGGAGTCCTCTTTGCAAAGAACTGATCTTGACGGTGGTGGGGAGCACGTGCAGGGAAGACAGCCCCACCCTGAGAGCCAGGGAGACTCTGATTCCTCTGTGGAAGGTTCAGGCCTGGGAGAACAGTCACGCGGCCCTTATGCATCCCAAGTGCTGGACCAAAAGCAGAGGCTGCGGCTCCTTCAGCTGCAGACACCAGAGCCCCCATCCAAGCTGGCTCAACCAGAAAGAACTTTCTGGGTCACAGAATTGAAAGTCCCTGGAGTAGGCTTCAGGATCAGCTGGATCCAGGGTTTCAAATATTGTCTCAACTGGGTCTCTCTCAGCTCCGCTTGCCTGCACTGGCTGGCTTCCTCTGCCAGGGCTGCCCTTTCTGGTGGCAAAGGTGGCCGCTGGCAGTCGCAGCCTGCATCCCACCATCTCTGCCGCCTTGGTGCCTCAGAAATCCCCGGATGACAGTCTGAGAGCTACTGTCAAGATAGAAAGGACGGGCAGCGGGGAGGTGGGAGCTGCAGTCGTGATCTCGGACCTCAGGGGGCATGTTCTGGGCTAAACAAGGAGCATTGTGGGCTGCTTTCCAGAAACTGGGCTCTCCTAACTTGTCGAGGGTGGTCCAGGAGGGCCTTCTGGAAGAAGCTGCGCAGCAAAAGCAGGTTCTGGAGATGCTTTCTGTGCTCGATTTTGAGAAGGTCAGCAAGGCAACATCCATCGAAGAAAGTAAGTAACTGCCTGCCACCCACGGGCCGCTCTTGTGAATGGCAGGAAGCGAGGGGCTACGAAGCCCAGGGGAGCCTCGCCTTGCTTCCTGATTGACGTTCAAAATTAACTGGAGTCCGGGGGGGATGCGCGGGGGTGGCAGCGGCTCGGCTGAGCTCTGACAGACTGTGGACTGTGGGCCGTCCTGAAGTCGGCGGCACTCTTCTTCCGTCAGCTGTGTGACTCTGGGCAAGGGATTCACCTCTCTGGGCCTCGGCTTCCCCGTCTGTATAAAGGGGAGGCCCCTGGAGAGTGTTCAGTGACCTAATCCCCAGGACACCTCCAAGGCACAGAGCGTGCGCTAAAACACAAACAGTATCAGTGACCCCCAACCTGCCTGCCCCCCACGGAAACTCCGTGTGTCCACGAGGAGAGGCTGGAGGCCGTAGCTGTCCCAGTCGCTGCGGAGACCGTGGGGGAGAGGCTTGGGGAAGGCGCTCACAGCTGAAGCCGTCTATCCTCGTGGGTCATGTGGGACGTGGGAAGGGAAGCTGCCTGGGGTCCGGTCACCCCTCACCTCCCTGACCTCTCAGGCCTCAGAGCGGGAGGAAATCTTTGGGCCGCCTCGTTGCCGGCCCTTCCCCACCCTCCATGGGGTCCTGACCCGGGCTTTCAGTCATTCCCCAGGCCACTCGGAGGAAGGGGTGCCTCAAGCTGTGGGAAGGGTGCACAGAGCCCGGCAGGGTCCTGTCCTGCGCCGCCACCATGCTGCTGAACCAGCTCAAGAAAACGTTCCTGCACAGAGTCCGAGGGAAGTACCCGGGACAGCTGGAAATAGGTACCCCCCTTCCCACAAGCAGCACTATGCTGAGTCCCCTGGGGCTTGGTTCCAGCCCTGCCTGCATCCCCGTGTCTTCATGGCACCAGAGGGAGGACATTTCTCAGCTGGCCCACGAGTCGCCTCCTCTCCCTGGGAGTAGGAAGGAGCCTGCGAAACCGAGGCTGTCGGCATTAGCCCCTTGGTCCGTGTCTCTGCAGATGGACTGTGTAGCTTCCACCAGAACATTAAAGGGGTTAAGAAAGAACGCTTATGGGAAGGGAGGCAGGAAAACAATGTCCTCCAATGTTGGCTGGACTCTTCTCAGAACGCAGAGCATCTCCCTTCCAGTGGCTCGGGAATAGGGCCGCTCTAAGCAGCGCGGGGCTGCTACTCGGCCTGAATATTCCCAGGCGCTGGCTGGGCCCGGCCCAGCTCAGCCCAGCCCAGGGCAGGGGACGCACCCCCAGAACGCCTATCTCGGGGTCTGCCGAGCCCAGCCACAGCACGCTCCTTCTGTCAGGCAGGGGAGGCCCAGGGAGGGACATCGCCCACAGGCCATTAGAAAACCCTTTAAACTGACCCAGCTGCACCTGGCAGAGAAGCTCCAAGGGGCCTGGTCTCCCCTCACGACCTCTTCTTGTGCCGCCAGCGTGCAGGAGGCTCCTGGAGCAGGTGGTGAGCTGTGGGGGGCTGCTCCCCAGAGCCGGGCCTCCCGAAGAAGAGACGGTCACCTGGTTCCAGTTCCACAGCTACCTGCAGCGGCACAGCGTCTCTGACCTGGAGAAGCATTTTGGCCGGCTCACCAAGGAAGGTAGGGGCTGGGAGGCCGCTGGCCTCCAAGCAGCACCGTGAGGAGGAGGAATGCCCTCCTTCTGTCCTGGGTCCTGGCTCTCTGGAGAACCCAAATTTGACGAGATGGCATGTTCTGGAATGAATGAGCTCCAGGAGAAGGTTTTACAAAGCACAGAGCCGAGGGCCGAGCTGGATACGAGGGTAACGCGCAGCTGGCCAGTATCTCTGAAGCACAGGCTGAGGTTTTATCATTTTCAGGGTCTATCTGAGCCCTTGCTAGAAAGCCTTCCTAGAGATTCCAGGAGGCCCTTTGAAACCCATCCAGACTGAGCCACGGTGATCACACGGGCCTGCCCTGGGATCTGTTTCCCCATGGCTACAGGCAGCGGCCAAAGAGACCTGCAGCCATATCGCCGACGGCAGTCGGAGGGACTCTGGCCCACTTCTCTCTTCCAGTGACACTCGTCGAGGAGCTGCAGAGTGCAAGGCAGGGCAAGGCGGTCAGGAAGCTGCAGGGGAAGCGGCTGGGCCAGCTCCAGCCCCTGCCCCAGACACTGAGGGCCTGGGCGCTGCTCCAGCTGGACGGGCCCCCACGAGTGTGCAGGGCAGCCAGTGCCTGCCTGGCCGGTGCAGCCAGCAACAAGAGCTTTCGGGAAAAGGTATGGCGTGAGGTTGGGAGGCGGCAGCCTCCGGGCTACATGTGTGTGAGTTGCGGGGAGGTCGGTTTTCTCTCTCAGAAAAATACAAAGGATGAGATTTGAAGGGGGGGCTGCATTCGTTGCAGGATGTTTTGGTTTTTTAAAAAAGATTTTGTTTTTTTTAAGTAATCTCCACACTCGCTCTCATTTACAACCCTGCGATCAAGGGCTGCACACTCTACCCACAGAGCCAGCCAGCTGCCCCAGGACATTCTGCTTTAGGGATGCTCCAATGGCGTGACCACAGCCCTTCTCCCACTGTGGCCCCCGGAGACACCAGTCTGGCGGGGGGATCTAGGCTGGACTGGGCTGGGGCTGCCAGGCCACCACCAGAGGATCCTACAGAACCTCACACCACAGCTTCTGACACAACATATTCTATCCCTGTGATCTGTCGCTTGCATGTAGAATTAAAGGGGCAAGACCGAGGCCTTCCTGAGGTCTCCTGGGCCACCCCTTAGCCAGGTGCCTTCTCGCATGCTTCCTAATGAACCTGTGCCATTTTGGGAAGCCGGTGGCAGCTCTCCTCTGGCTGAGGTGCCCGAGGGGATGGGGCCATTGCTGTGACTGGGAAAGGGGGCTGAAGGGAAGAGCTGTTTTGTCCTCGGGCCTCAGGCAGCAGCTCGGCTTTCGGCCCCCAAGGCCACCTCCCTCTGCACGCCCAAGTCTTCGGTCGGCCCTGGCTGGACATCTGATTTCTCTGATGTCACATTTTATCTCGATTTGGGAAATACTATTAGACAAAAAGAACGTTCTTCATTTTGATTACCATGAGCCCAGGGACCAGTGTCTTTAGAGATAAACCAAATGCTGCAGCAGACACCCCGAGACCGGGTGGCCATAGTGCAAAGATGACTAGATCGGGGCCCGATTCTTGTTCAGAGAAAGGTAAGCGGGGCGCGACTTACTGCCAGCACTGGGAGGCCTGGAAGCCCCCTACTCACAGCGACTTCATTCCCCAGGCTTTGCTCTTCTACACCAACGCTCTGACCGAAAACGATGCCAAACTCCAGCAGGCCGCGTGTGTGGCGCTCAAACACCTCAAGGTGAGTCTAACCTGCCCCCACGAGGGCAGGGAGAAGCCTGAAGTCAGTTCGTGTCAAAGGCATTTCACCGGGGAGCCCCTCCACCAAAAGAAACTTACCGCCAGCAAAACAGACAATCAAAACACCCAAAAAACAAAAACAAACCCCCCCCCCCCCCCCAAAACCCAAAAAACCGCCCCCGAAGAGATCGTTTTAGAGAAGCAGATGTCTGATCTGCCTGCAGAGGCCCCTCAGCAGCGGTCAAGGAGCATTGGCTCTGGCTGTGCTTGAATAAGTAAGTGGCCCCAGAGACTCGCTTCGGAGGCCCTGGATTCTATGTTGTAATATTCTCAATAAAAAATTTCTAAAAGCACCATTAGCTCATTGTAGGAAAAAAAAAAAGAGTGAAACACAGAAACACAGAGTTCAGTCGTCATCCTAATACTTAGTGGAAAGTACTGTTGGCATTTTGCTGTATTTCTTTTGTTTGTGGGTGTGTGCGAGCATTTAAGATTGTTGATCATGCTAAATATAATTTAAAAGCAGTGAGTTTAACAGGAACTCTTAGCGGCAGGTGGGCAGCACTCTCGAAGTCTCTATGAACGGGCCATCTTAAGTTAAATGGACTCCCCCACTCTCGTGTGATCCCAAATTGAGGTTCACCTTCCATTTTTATTATAAATAGTATCATTATGAGCTTAAAAAAATATATATGGAGTTCTGAATGATCTCTTTAGGCTGAACTCTCCTTGAGTGTGGAGTGTGACTCCAGGCCAGAGAATAGGAAACGTCTGGAGCCTCTAGATACAGCTCAGCCACTTACGCTCCCAGAGGAGATGTGAAAGGATGCCCATCTTGCCTCCACCTCATCTGCATCTGGAACTCTCATTTTAGAAAAAACATTGCCAATCTGCTGGAGGAGAAACAGATTAAACTTACCCCATTCACTCTGGAAAGAACCAGAGAAATTCTAAGAGGACCATCTGGTTATAATCAACCAACCAGTAAGGGAGTAGGGGTGGGTGCTCTGTAGAGGAAGGCAAAGTGTGCTCTGGTCCTTGGCCCTGGAGGTGAGCAGCCAGGGTGGGCTGTGCCCAGACCTGATGCTCTCAGTCTGACCAGGAGGGGAGAGTTAGGAGAGGAGGAGACAGGAAGGTCTCGAGGGAAGCAGGTCTTCTCCTTTTCAAAAAAGGCCTTCTAGAACGTATCCATAAAGCTCTGCCAATGGCCTGGCTCATGGGCAGGTGTCAGGATGGAAAAGGTGAGGCACTTCCAAACGCACCCCTGATGAACTTGAGGCCACACAAGAAACCTGTAAGCCTTCAGAAAAGGAGGGGGCTGAGGCCTCTTGGTCCGTGCCAGGGCTGGGGTCTTGCCGAACTTACAAAAGTAGACTGCACTTGCTACTTAAAATGTCCCCTAAAGGATCCTCTTCCCCCTCCCCACCTCCAACAGGGCATCGAAAGCATCGATCAGATTGCCAGCTTGTGCCAGTCTGACCTGGAGGCCGTGAGAACAGCAGCCCGGGAGGCCACACTGTCATTCGGTAAACTGTGGGGCAGTGGGGCACCTGAGGACTTCCGGGAGGTGGTGCCAGAGAGGCCGCGGCCAGCCCTCCCGGACGCAGGATAGCACATGGGCTGGGCACTGTTAGTGACCCATTGAACTGCATTTGGCCAAGATAGGTTTCCTTCATGGTTGAGGTGGCAAGAAGTGCTTTTATTTCCCTCTTAAACTTCAGTTTATGATTCTGGGGAATGAATGCCAGATACGAGGCAGGAACACGGTTCAGCAAATTGTCATGAATGTAGGGGCGAGGCAATGGGTCCATGCGAGTGGCCGGCAGGAGCTCCTCTAACGCTCCCTGCCTCTACCCCTTACAAGGGCACCCAAGACCCAGGCGTCAGCACTAAGGCCATCTTGGCTCACCAGAGCAGGAACACCAAGGTGGGGGACAATCCAGTGACAGGTCACCTTACTATTTCAGGTGAGAAAGGACGCTTGGCTTTTGAGAGGATGGACAAACTCTACTTGGAACAAAGAGAAGAGGCCTTCTGCCAGGAGGCGGATGTTGAAATCACAGTATTTTAAGCCTTGGCTGATGAACTCCAACGTTGGCATCTTTGTCTTCGTTCCCACCCAGCCTTGACACAGGAACTGAGTTTGGGGTGGGGGGTGCGCTGCGTGCTCCCCACTAAGTGTGAGCTGGCCTGCGCTCCTCCGTCTCCAGACCAGTCACGACTTCTAGGGGCACAAATGAGGCCTTCCATACTGGAGCAGAAGAGGCTGGCCAGCACTTTGAAGGTTGTAGGACTAACCACATGATCAGCTTTTTGGTCCTGACAATGTGTCTGACCTTCCCCAGCGAGCTGCATGGCAAAAGGGCCAAGGCCAGGCAGGATGAGGCCTGGAGTAAAAGGTTCCAAGAGGAATGCACGGCACTTGGGGTTCTCCCTGCAGGTTCTGGTTCAGTAAGGACTGGGAATGAACTGGCAAGCGGGCGGACTGCTCTTGCTGAGGACACGGCGGGTCACATCAGCAGCAGCGGGCTGTCCCCTCTGCGAGCTGGGGACAGTGGGAAGAGGGAGCTGGGGTTTCACAATTCACGCTCTTAACCCGAGCTGCAGCCCAAATGTTTCGCTGTGGAGCCTGCTGACCACGGACCTTATTCTCCCGTGTTCAACAGCACAAAGAAGAAAATGCCACCGGCTGAGAAACCCTGAGCGTCGTGTGAGGAAGAGCGTTCACCTTGACCTCTCCCATCATCAGGGAACAGAACTCTTGAAGCAAGTCAACGTGAGGCCTTTAATAGGGTTAGACAGTTAATAAACTGTTTTGGAAGCCATAAACTGGTTTGAAAAAAGATTTCACTGAAGAACATGTTTAAAGAAAATTAGTTTCCTATTTAAATCTATTAAAAAACCTCAAAGAAGCCCTGAGCTGTTTTTGTGCTGAGCCGTAGAGACAGCCTGGGGGCTGAACGCGACTCCTGACAGTGGCCCTGGGGACTCTGACTGAAGGCTTCTCATGTAAACTTCCTGTATATGTTCTGTGCTCTTCGGTTGAATTTAGTATTTATTTGCCTTGTCCTTAGGTTCGGTTTCCTGAAATCTCGATTAAAATGATTTGTATGGGTGCTTCCCTTTACCTGGAAAAAGCAGACAGCGGTGGTTGTTTCCCCAAACCTCCCGGGGAGGGACAAAGCGGCCCCCCAGCCCCTTCCCGAAGGCGCTCTCTGTGCCTTCGGTACTCCCCGTGTTCGCGAAGCCTCCCCGAGAGCCTGCTCCTGCACAGACACCAAGCAGCACGGCCCCTCCTTGTCTAGCCCTTGGCCTCGTCTGATTTCTGTGCCGGTTACGAATCCAGCCATTTTTCTTCCCCCCACACGGGCATTCCACCGCTTCCTGAAAGCTTAGATGCCGTTTTTGTATCTGAAACAAAGACTGAAGTGACAGTGGGCGTGACACCACCTTCCCGTGGCCACAGTCCTCCGCGGCGTCCAAGGTCACATGACCACAGTCTGCGTTTACTCCCCGGTTCTGCGAATCCTGCCAGGAGGCCCAAGCGGCCAATCACACAACCCTGAAGGGTATAGGGAAGTCTCTGTACTATTTTTGGAACTCTATAAATCTGAAATTATTTCAGAACAAGAAGTCAACCAATCACTTTAGAGAAGATGAACGGCATACAGGGAAGGACTAGGTGAATCTTCTATCTCGTCACTTCTCCATCAAGCACGTCTCCACAGAGATACTGAGGAGGACGCGTTCTGAGCAGTCCTCCAAGCAGTCTGGGTGGTTTGCTAAGGTAGCCCAAGGCCCTGGGCATTCAGGAGGTGGGTTCTGTCGTCGTCCAAGAAGCTGGGTTGACGCCGGAAGTGTCACATAAACTCACCGGGAAGGGAATGGTTCCCCAGCTCAAAGATGAGCACAGCCCCAGGAGGCCACAGTAACCCTCGGCCACCTGAGCGACAGCACCTGCTTTCTGGCAGTGGTGGCAGGAAACAGGAGGTACCCGTCCTCCTTTAGGCCCATTAAACAAAGGCATGGGAGGCACCCCAAATCCATGTTCTTTAGAAAAAAATTTTTATTGTTGCAACTAAAATGCAAACCCATCATTTATATGGCAAGTTGGAAATCTGTACAGTTTGACAGTTCTGTGAGGTCACAGAAGACCCTGAGACGCGCGCCCCCCACCCCCCATCATGCAGCCATGTATACACACACCTGAAAAGGTATTATACCGAAACACCTCGCTTTTTTTGTGTGTTTTTATTTTTGTAAAAACGGTTTATTCCATGGCCATTGTAAAAAAATAATGACCAGATGAGTAAATATTGGCTTAAGGCATATAGCAGAGCAGCTCGCTACTTCTCTAACATACGTGTAACAAGATGGAGAGCCATCTGTTTTCCAAGGATAGGAGGTTAAACCAGTATATCCATTTTGAAATGCTACTATATATACACACCCAAACTACTACATACATATACAGGACTTCAAAAAACAAACAAACAAGCCCAACTCAAAAACGCCTCCAGCCTGGCACCTCAGCCTCACCCACACCTCACCAAGGCTCTGCGGAGCGATGCCTCGAATGTTCCCGCCGCAGAGTTTCTCTGCACGGGCTTCTAACATGGGAAAGGCAAAATGTGAAAATGCTGGCAAAAGAGCAGCTTGTGAGCTACAGCTGCCTTGTTTTTTGTTTTTTTTGTTTTGTTTTGTTTTTCTTGTTAAAAAAGCCACTTAATGTGGAGGTCTTAAGCTCCCTTGCAGGAAGAGTCGTGAGCACCATCAGTCCCCAGGGTTCAAGGGCAGGGGCAGACGTGGCTCTCAGCAAGGCCCCCAGAACGGGATGGTGGCAGGCGGACTCCGAGGGACTGTCACCCAGATTGCTTCGGGCGTGTGGTTTCCAACAGTTGCCTTGGTTCCAAATCACAGTCTGCTCGAAAGGAGCGTGAACTTCTGACCATGGAGGCTGATCCCCAGGGTGTTGGGGGGGACCCTGCTTGCCTATATGTCCGGAGCGTGAGGTGTGACTACGGCTTCCCATACCCTTGGAATGTCTGAGTTACAGTGGGCCCCGGCTGGACAAGGCAGGCCGGGCCTCACCAGGAAGTCACCAGAGTGTCATGCCAGGAATTCGGCAAATAATCTGTTACTGGAAAACATCACTCCACTGCTGAATGGCGGATTTCAGCAAGTCTTAGGAACCACAGCCATGTAATGATCAGATCATGCAAAGGTAGATTGGACTTGTACATGGGGGCACATTAATAAGCAGAGAGCTAAGTGTTTCAAGCACATGGTATCTGATCGGGGCACGAGACGACCGAACATGCATTCTAATACACACAGGGAAAGCAGTGATTGAGAACAAGGTTCTAGCAGATAACCGGGAGGGGATAACTGGGACAAAGTCATCTCACGTCATGTATCTTAAATATCCAAGTGTTCAGTATATATTATCCCATGTTCTATAAACATATGCCAAACCTCTTCTCACGTTACCCACAACGTCACGAAATAACGACTGCTTACAACCGTCCACCTTCCTAGTACTGGTCTGATGCAGCAGGCTCATGGCAAAGTCTTACGTTCCCAGCACTACCTGAGGGTTTATTATTGTACTTTTTGATAAAGCCCTTGATGAAAGGCTGACATCAAAAATTTTTAATACATTATGGGTTTAAGAAAATGCTAGTACACTATGGATGCCTTTGGGAAAAAAAGACAAAAACAAAAAAATAAATATGGAGTGGAGAGGCTCACTGCACATGGTCTCCGTGGAGGTCCAGGGAGGAGGACACTGGGTGCTGCCTCCCCGGGCTGCACTGGGCCACACCAAGGGGGAGCACGCGGCGGGGTGGGCCTCGCGACTCGCACAGGCTACCAGCACCAGACTCTCCTTTGCTCTCCTCAAAAAATGGGTAGTGGATTGGATACTCGAAGGAAAGGGAAGGGAAACAGAGTCAAAGGGAGTGAGAACCAACAGCCTGGGGAGGGTGGTTTTAGTGCAGAACAAACGTCCGTCCAGGTCCCGGCTGGCTACGCTGTCCTCGGCCCTTACCGACCACGGCCTGCCTGCCAGGCGCGCACGGGCTCTAGCAGCGGAGGCGGACAGTGGGGTGGAGGTGGAGTGGAGGTGGGTCAGATTATGTGCTGCTGCTGAACAGGAACTGGAATGAAACCAAACATTTTCAGATGAGCCCGGACCCACCCCCGCAGAGCGGCAGACTCACGCACTACCCCGGCCTCCCCAGCCTCCAGCGAAGGCGGTTCGTTTCTCTTTTAGGACAGCCCACCTCCCGAAAAATCTCCCCCAGGGAAAACATTGTTTACACATTGCTAAACCATCCGATGTACTCAAAGATGGTGGCTTGCAAAAAAGACAAAATATTTTAAAAATGATTTTTAAAAAGTCCTGTGAAGTGATTTCCATGACTAGAGTTCTGAGGCTAAACCTCCCTCTTCCCCACACATTAACAGCAACACACATCTCGCGTGTGGATTTCTACTGCAACAGCATTTCTATTCCGAAGGAAGTGGAAACTGTTCCTTTGGGACCTCAACGGCAGGGTGAGAAGCTGGTGGCCATCCTGCTGTGACCTCAGACCCTGAGGCAGGGGCCTGGGGGAGCCCCATTTGTGGAGGTGGGGTGAGGAGGGCGGGGCCTGACCCAGATGGCCGGAGCGAGAAGGGACGGATGGAGAAATGAGCAATGGGAAACCGGTGGGGACACCCTGAGCAAAAGCAGAAGCCGGGCTTTGTTTTCTAGAGATGGCTTTCTGTTGTTTCTCTTCTAAAAATGGGAAAGCTCACAGGCGCTGTCCCAGCTCAGTGTGCGCACAGCAGAGGAAGCGACTGAGCAAGACGGCGCCCTGAACCCTTAAACCCTCTTCTCCAAGGGAGTTTACATTCGTAAAAGCACGGGAAATCTTTCCCTGGGAAATCCAATATAAACTGTGTATCTGCTGACACCACGTAAGGGTACAAGGAAGTTTCGTAAGTGCCTAGTCTCTTTTTTTTTTTTTCCAGAAATAACAAAAGCTGCTTTTTATAAAGGTTAAAAACAACAATGTGTTGTAATTCTATTATTTTTTTTTTTTCAAAAACAAACAACAGTAACAAAAAAAAAAGAGAGAGAGAGAGAGAGAGAGAGAGAGACACATATTTGGCATTTTCTCTACTTACTCCTGAATAGGTTAAGGCCCTGAGATTAGACTCATATATTCTTGGGATCACAGGGCTCCTTAAAACCCCAGTGCATCAATCCTCAATTCTCTCTTGCTAGCCCTTCACAGTTCCAGCCTTTAAAAACCTTTGCTGTTTCTTCTGAGACTGGCTCAGATCCTTCCACAGCACTGAATGCTAACGCCGGGCTGTCGGCCAGTGCTTTCTGTACCCACGGTCTTGCCAGCACGTCCGTCAGTGAAAACATACCCTGTAGCAGAGGTACGCGCCGGCCGTGAGGACGGTGGCCATGCACATGTTGACCAGGAAGGGCTTCCAGGGAGTCAGTGCCGGGTTCTGCTTCTCCTTGGGTGGCGAGGGCTCCCCCTGGGCAGGACCTGCCCCCACGGCCCGCCTTCTGACTTCAGTGTCTGGACTCGTGCTGAGGGAGGAGATGCACAGAGACGGGTTACTCACTCTGGGGAAAACAACAGCGGGGATGCTATTGCTACAGTGGGAACTGCCAAGACCTTGGGAACACGGATACTAACCTGAAGCCCACTTGTCGCACACACACCCCCCCGCCCCGCCCCAGAGACCCAGACGGCCACCACAGCCAGGGTATGGTTCTGGAGCCCCGTGGACTCCTTGGTGATGGAGGGTGGGTGAGACTCTGCTGAGAAATACAGGCGCTGGTGCAAAGCTAGGTGCTAATTTGCCCTGGGGTTTGCTTGGAGAATGTTCCCCTTCAGTTCAGGGAGGGCAATGGTGCGGCCCACATGCTCTCTCCCTCTCCCCGGGCCCCTGCATAGGAGCCTTTGCTGCTGTTGACATGAGGACATCACGTATTCCCTCTGCCCCTCAGCCTGCCCTGTCCCCAGCTTGAGGCCCCAGCATCGCTCAGAACCCGCCAGTAGGATCGTTTCTCAGGCCTCTTGTGTACAGACCGGCTGCCCTCCTGGTGGCAAGCCAGAGCGCCCCCGTGCGGGGATGATGTGAACTGTGTTCTCCTTCCAGGCCTATCTCAGGAGAGGCCCACAGAGGCCCTTCCTCTCTTTGCCACCTCCCCCAGGCCTTTCCTTCTCCCCCTGCCCTTGCCACCCAACAGAAGACCTGACCACAAGATGTCCTACTTCTCACATGCATCTCCACAGCTCTTCTACCCCAGCAGCATCGTGTGTAGTGGGCAGGACCCCTGAGGCATTACCTCCCCAGGAGGTGGCACAAAGCACCTGCTTTTCTGCTCCCCATTGTGGGGCCCCAGCTGCGGGGCTGAGGCCTGTGTGCACATGGGTCCCCATTGGTGTCCAGAGGCACCGATGTTCTTGGCATAACCCCATTTTTTCCTGGAAATCTCTGGCTTTTGGCTTCCCAGATCCACACTCCCCTCCTTGCCACCTTCACACACACACACACACACACACACACACACACACACACACACTGAAAAGCACCCCCTCTCCCCCCCAGTCTCAGCGAATACATAACAGAACACATGACAGACTGGAAACCAGTCACGTGCCAGCTCTCACCTCACTCACTCTCAACTCTTGGCAGGCCCTCAGATGGAGCACACTGGCACGCCCTGAGAACGTCACCAGAGGCCCTGGGAAGCCAGGCACGGTCTCCTGGGCAGACTGTCACGGAGCTACTGCCGAGCACATTGCACAGCACCTGTTCTGGGAGGCCCCACTGGACAAGTCCCAGAGGTGATGGGGCTGTGATAGGGACCCAGTCGCATGAAGGACCCTGCTGACTTAGGTGCACGCGTCAGCACTGGGGCCTGGCACTCAGCATTTGGCAAGGCGCCCAGGTAAGATTCTGATGATGAGTTTAGCTAGAGGACCACTCAGGGACACGCCATGTCTAACCTGCTCACTTCAGTATTGTTATTCCAACGTCTACTTGCGTTAGTGCATTCCTGACTGTGTCCTTTAACAGCTCCAAAGTATCCCAAAGTAAGGAGAAAGCACGAGTTACCTAATCCCTACATATACAATCAGCTTGTCTCTTGTCACTGTTCTCAATGATGCCGCAATGAACACCTGCCCCTACAGATCTCTTTGGACACCTGTTTGCAAAGTGTTGCAAACCAAATTTCTAGATGTGTACAAATGCTGGGCCAAAGCATGCACTCATCCAGGAAGCAGGAACAAGGGCACTGTCTCCATAGGCTGGGGCTCAGGCTCACACCCATTCCTTCTCCATGCTTCCATGCCTCATGTAGGCCCTCCTTGAGCACCCTGGGAAGGCAGGGTATCTTCTTGATGGCTGACCACCACAGCAAACAATTCCATCTCCTCATTGTCCACAGGGTCCCATCCATAATCCACTGTCCCCGCCCCAACAAGATGGTCTAGAATACAGACCAGGGGCCATGTTCCAGTGATCTCAGTATTTCACATGCATCAGTATGTGTTCAATAACCTTTGCTAAATGGCATTCCGTTAATCAAAACTACACAAAAGGTTAAATTCCCAGAAGGACCAATCTGGGGGCCGAAAGTACATGGTCTAACCTGGATAGTACATTTCAGGACTGGCTAGAAGCCAGGGGCAGGGCTAGGTCATCTCTGGGTGGGACTGCTTACCGGGATGCAGGATTCCAACAGGCACCACAAGGTGGTGCTAGAGCCCCACTGAAGTAGGTACCTGAGGGCATGGGGGACAGCGGCCAACCTTCGGCAGCGTCAAATGCTCCTGGCTCCTACAGCGAGGGGAGGAGTGGTGCTGGTCCAGGGGTCCCATTCCCCAAAGACACAGAGGCGATGCTTGCCAAGAGGAGGCTGGGTCCTCAGGGTTTCAATATCAATGTGTTTCTGGATCAGAAGGTCAGTCCCCCTCACCCCCAGTAAACCAGGCCCATTCGGGCTTACCTTTCCACGCCACAAGGGACGTTTAGAGGGCTTCTGGTTTCTTCCTTGATAGAGCAGTCTTCTTTATCCTGCCCGGTTTCGTCCTTTACCCACTGGTGGTTGGGGAAGAATTCCTTGCACTTCCCATTGTGTGGCTCCAGGATGCGTTTGGGGGGCCGGGGAGGAGGGGGGACGTGTTCGGGTGGGGGCTCCAGGTCCTCATGGGAAAGCTCCTTCCATTGCTCCTAGGGAAAGCAGCAGAGAAAGCCCCGTTAGCATTCACGGTGGACTGATCTGTCAGGAAATCTGCTCCCCTTTAGAGTGAGCAGAGGTGAGGGGCTCTCTCTGCTTCCTGGGGCTACAGATACATATACTTGGAAGATGAAATCTTTTGAAAATAAAGTCTATTCTCCCTATCAATGTTCTCTACGTCAGAGCGTCCATAGCAGAAATTGGATCGCAGTGAGCACTTTCACAACCTTCTAGCTATTTCGCCAAGGAAGACAGCTATTTCTTCTGAGCCATGGTAGAGTATTTGAACTTTACAACTGACAGCCTCCTTCAGAGACAAAAATTCAAAATCGACGTACCAGGATGTAAGCAGAAGCGAGGCTTACCTGCACTGAAGAGTCTCCCATGATGAATTTGGCACCTTCGATCACAGCTAGATAAGAGAAACGGAGCTGGTCTGCTGTCTGGATCAGCCCCATCCGAAACTTCCGCATTTCTAACAGAACTTTCTTGATGTCGACAGAAGAAGGGTCTTTCCTCTTGTCCATCTGAAAGCCAGAGAGGAGACACCATTCAGTCAGCCCCAACTCCCAAGTACAATGTGATTTTCAACGTTCTGGAGGAGTCCTCCAGTTTCTACTCAGGAAAAATCAGAGCAGGGAGGCAGAAGTCTAGCAAATGTGTGAAAGTGCAGCAAAATCGGGACCACAGGAGCATGGGGGCAAGAGTAAGAGAAAGGGAGTCTCTGGGCCTTCCCGATTCCACATTCCACTTAAGAACATCCCTCCCAACAAAGCTACTTAGCTTAGAGCTACTGTCATAGGAGGAAAATTGTTAAAAATTAAAGATCCTGGCTAGTTTACTGCAGAGACAATGATAGAAAAGCTCGGGGCAGGCCACAGGGACCAGCGGGGGCCGCCTAAAATGGACTCCCTTCTCTTCCCGTGGCCTTCAGGGGCCTCCTTACCAGCAAGAGGCAGGTGTCAGCCAGACAGAAGGTCCCCGACCTGCCGATGCCAGCACTGCAGTGCACCACGACAGGGCCGTGCTCCGTGCTTAGTGACCCCGACTCACGAACTTTAAAAAGAAAGTTCAGGAATGAAGCTGGCGATTCGGGGACTCCAAAGTCAGGCCACGTGGTATAGTGGAAATGTAAGATCTCTCGAGTTTCCTGAGACTGAAAGAAAGAAAAGAGAAATTCTCTAAGAAAAAAGATTCTCCAAGAGAATCATCTGTACAGAAATCACGGCTTTCAAGTAAGCACGAAGTGTACCCCACCCCCACCCCCATCTTAACTCAAAGAACAGCTTCCCTTCTCAGAGTTCCTTCCGTCTGCTCACCCAGCCAAGATATACCAAGCACTGGGGGGTGCCCAACACTGGACCTGGAGGCTGCTCCCGCCTCGACTTCCTTTCCTTTAGCATGGAACGTTCTCGTCCACATCTCTCCTCCGGTGCCCCATCCCCCTGCTGTCTTCATGGTTACAAGTGATTTCTCTCTACCCCACAAATCACAATGACGCTGTGTGGCCACCCCACGGCAACCCTGTCCTAAAGCACTGGAGGGTTTCCCACGGAAGAGTAAAAGAACCGTCACCGCATGGGTGTGGCTCCAGCTCTGGGTAGCGCAGGGCTTGACACGACTACCTGGAAGTCTCAGAGGACTGTCATTTTATAGAAAAAAGTAACCAGATTCATCCCAAAGCAACAGAATACACATTCTTCTCTAGTGCACATGGAACATTCTCCAGAATA